GGGAGCCCAATAGGTAGTGTTGATATTGAGATTATAGTGGGAAATAAGTGTACATTGGTTGAGACCCAAAGTAGGAAATTTCCTAATTAAATTCAGAAATTCCTACATTATGATTGCCAATCAATGGATATACATTATTTAAGTATGATTTGAAGTGAATTCCTATGTCAGCATAGTTAGGTTATTAAGATTATATAGAATAAGTTACTTGGGTGGATTCCCATAATGCGAAGTTCCCCATAACGTTGTGAAACACACAAAGATTAATTATAATCAGCATATGATTTGCGCTGCCTGAAAAATCATATGTATCTGCCGTAAGCCAACTTCCAATAAACGGAGTCGCAATTTCATCTGCACCCATAAACCTCCCACAAGGTGTTGTCTTACCTGCTGGGCCTGTCCCAAGTTCCTCCCACTCGGTGGCCAACCGACGGGCTGCGTCATTTCCATTTCTTCGGGCGGTTACACGACTTGCCAAGTCCCGCCAAGATGAAAAGCCCCCGAGGTCGCTGGAGAGCCGGTTTCTACCGAGAGCGGGAGCTGGAAGATTTCTGTAGCCTCGCGCGAGGAGAGAGGTGGAGAATTGGCCGCGCTGCGAAGATTTCTCGGATCGGTTCGAAGCGCGAGAGGTGGAGATAACATAACGAAAGCCGGCGGATAGTCTCGAATGCGCTGCCAGCGTTTCGCGACCGATGCCTATTTACTATATAATCGGTTCCCAGCAGGCGGGCGGTTGTTAGTAGTGCTGCTCTTTCTGCGGCTTCAAATCATTCCCGCAGTGGATGGCCACGCGATCGGTTCGTTTCGTCTTGGTTATTCGTATCAGAGATCAGAGTATCGGTTTTCCGGAGATCCAGTGTTCGAGTGAGAGTGCCATGAAGCCTTAGAAACTAAGGAAATCCTACAGTTAAATACAAAAAACCACAAAAACCGTTTAAATAAACCGCTGAAAATGAGTCAAAGGGGTGGCAACGGTCACACGAACAGTGGCTTCAATGGCGGTTCCGAGGTGTCCTTGGATATACCCACCAATACCCTGTACCACACTTCGAGGGACTGTATAGTTCAGGAGGAGCAGGGTCCCAATGAGAGCTGCCTGGAGGGAACTCAGAGCTGCTGCTCAAATCTGTGGTCCAATATCTTCAGGAAGAAAACCCTGTACAAGCGATTTCCCATCTTAGTCTGGCTGCCCCAGTACAAAAAGGATTATATTTTCGGTGATATAGTGGCGGGCATATCCGTGGCCCTGACTGTGATTCCCCAGGCCTTGGCCTACGCTGGTATTGCGGGATTGGATCTGCAGTACGGACTGTACGCCTGCTTCCTGGGCTGCTTTATATACATCTTCATTGGGTCCAGTAAGGATGTGCCCATAGGACCTACGGCCATATCAGCTCTGTTGTCCTTTCAAATCGCCGGGGGCAGTTGGCAAGTGGCCACGCTGTTGACCTTTCTCACAGGACTCATCGAGATCCTGATGGGTGTCTTCCGACTGGGATTCCTCATCGACTTCGTTTCCGGACCTGTGGGAGCAGGTTTCACCAGTGCCGTATCCCTCATCATCTTTAGCTCCCAGATGAAGGACTTTTTAGGCATCAAAACCAGTGGCAATACCTTCCTGCAAGTCTGGATTAGCATTGTGAATGATATACACAACATCAGCTGGCCGGACTTCATCCTGGGACTTATCTGTATTACTCTTTTGCTGAGTCTTAGAGCCCTGGCCAGTTGTACTTTGGGTCCCAAAGAGGGAAAGACCACCACCCAAAAACTGCTTACTGGAATTTTCTGGACCATTGGAACTGCCCGAAATGCCCTGTTGGTTTGTGGAACCGCAGGACTTGGCTACTGGCTGTTTATCAATGGAAAGGAGAACCTCGTGAGGACCGTGGGCTTTGTGCCCAAGGGGTTGCCCTCCTTCCAGCCACCGCCATTCAACATGGATGCTGTTATCAACGAAACCACAGGAGAGGTCCTCCAGGAGGCCCAGAGCTTCTGGGATATGGTCAGTACCCTGGGTTCCGGATTAATTGTGGTTCCCCTTATCGCTCTTCTGGAAACAATGGCCGTTGTTCAAGCTTTTGGTGAGTTATGCATCTCTATTTTGTGGTTTATTAGCTACGCATATAATAAGATTGCGATCGTTCTTCCCCAACAAGTTCAAGAATCTTAAAAATTCAAGTAGGAAATGATTCATCCTTAATTAGTTTTCATCAAAAGCTTGTTTTTGAATCGGAATGACGAAAGCAACGTGTTTTTTTAGTTTAAACTCTCAGAGCCTGTAGTTCAAGATTAGTGTCAACGCTTTAACGGCACGTGTGCATTATTTTAAAGTATTCTGAATTGACCTCGAAATGGGTGGGTTGTTAAATAATTAAAAACTAATAAATTTGAGCGACATTCTCTAGAAATCTTATAATTTTCTACATATTATTATGGCGGGATGGGATATTAAATTAGTGTATTTTCCAATAATATTTAAATTGTCTTTGATTATCCCTGATATTCCTGAATATCCTTATCGAAAATATATAATTCTGTTATATGGATTGAAACCTACACCAAACGAATTAATACAAATTAATAATACGTGACGGCAGTCACACTTTTTTAATTGAGACAGATCATAATTGATAAAAAATTTGGAATTGGGTGTTTCGTCATTTGAATTTGAGTCATTCCTTGGTTCCTTTATTCTTTGGGGAGGAACAGGTATTTTATATATTTTCTTCGAGTGGTTTCTAACTCCTCGCTATGTGTTTTTCCCCTTTAGCTGATGGCAAGCCCACAGACGCCACTCAGGAGTTGATAGCCTCTGGGGTTTGCAACGTGGCCAACTCATTTGTTCAGGGTCTTCGGAGCAACGGTGGAATCGCCCGCGGAGCCATCCTCAACGCCAGTGGAGTGAGGACCCAGCTGTCCAATCTCTACACCGGTGTGATCGTGATCATCGCCCTGCTCTATCTCACGCCCTGCTTTTATTACATTCCTAAGGCGGCACTGGCCTCCATTATTATTGCGGCGGTGATCTTCATGGTCCAGTACCGAGTGATCAAGCCCATGTGGCACAGTAAAAGTGAGTTAAAAATAGATGAGTTATATAAAAAGAAGTTGGTTGCTAAATGTATGTGATTTTGTTGCCAACAGAAACCGATCTCATACCCGGTTTGGGAGCCTTTTTCGCCTGTTTGGTTCTGCCTCTGCAGCTGGGCATCCTCGTGGGCATCGGCATAAACGTGGTCTTCATTCTCTATCAGGCGGCCAGGCCCAAGCTGCGCATCGAAACACTGGCGGTGAGTCATCTAAACTTAAGATAAGGTGGTCTTTGGGATCTCACTATAGCATGATGAGAATAACTTCAGTGGCTAAAAGTATGCTAAGAAACGGATGAGTTCTGAATGCCTGAAGTTATTTTCCATTAGACTTATTTTCTGTTATTAAGTGGTTCTAAAACCTATTAAGTCGGAAATTATTTAAATCGTTACTCATTAAAAGTATTAAGTATTACTTATATAAAAAGATATTTTAGTATTTATTTAAAAGATATTAAATATTAAAGTATTAAATATAATATGATATTATATGATATGATATTTATAAATCCCTTTCCTTTACAGACCACTACCGGCCTGAAGTACCTGATGCTCACCCCCGACCGCTGCTTGATCTTCCCCTCGATGGAGTTCGTGCGCAAGGTGATCAACAAGCAGGGCCAGAAGTCCACGCTGCCAGTGGTCATCGACTGCACGCACATCTATGGAGCGGACTTCACGGCCGCCAAGGTGATATCCACCATGGTGATGGACTTCAAGCTGAGGGAGCAGCCGCTGTTCTTCTACAACCTGCAGCCACGGGTGGCGCAGGTGTTCGAGGGGCTCAACAAGGACCTGGTGGTCATATACGACATCACCACCCTGCACGCCAAGCTGGCCGAGAAGTCTCCTCCGGCCTGAGGAGGGATCCAAAGAAGTCCGAGGGAGATCAACGCTGCAACCTCGTCACGCGATAGTCTTAGTCCAATCCCACTCTAGGTCCATGTGTTAGCCTAGTCTCTGTCTTAGCACTAGTGCTAGCCTAGTCTTGCCCGCCGAGGCCAGCGACTAAGACTAAATGTGGACTGCCCACGCTCATCGCCTAAGTTGAAGGTACCACCATTACCATTCCATGGGCTAGCTCACCTTAATTAGCATTTAAGTTGCGGCAACATTCCACTTTCCGCAGATGTCTGCACAATATTTATATTTATTCGGCCTCTGGCGAGTCGCGGTTGAATTTCGCTGAGCGAAACATCCCGAGCCAGAGTTCCTCCCACCCGCGATTTTGCCGCTGGTATTATAGTATTATTTGCGAATAGCGAACGAAGAGTGTTAGCATAAGTACTTAAATAAATCAAGTAAATATTAAAAACCAAGTGGATTTTCTATGGTTTGGCAAGGGAATATACGACACATAGTTTCGCATTTATTTATTTCTTACACCTATTTCATCACAATGGTTTTATTAACAAATCAATAAAGTTTTAGTGCATTTACCGCTTTTTATCTCGGGGGTTTGAAAAATTATGGTATGGCTATTTTTCGAATCCCTGATTACCCATTCATTTAGATTAAATATCTAATCAATTTTTGCAAAAATTTGAGGCCACCTTCAAACCTAAAACGTGTGGTGATTTAGTTTGGCGCTTCATGTGGGCAGTAAATCTTTTGGCTCGAATGCATCATTAATAATCAGATCGCAACAAATGATAAGATTGGTTGACCAAAAATCTAAAAAGATAGGCTCAGCTAAACAATTAAGCATATAAAATACATTAGCTAAAGTATTTTTAAGTTCTTATGAATGTTTGCCGTGATGAAAATGTAATTTTTAATGTGCATTTTTCAGTTTTCTTTAAATGTTGAACTTTTATCTCTAAGTAGTTAGCCTGGTCAGGAACCTTTCCGCTTAACTGTGAAATCAAGTTTCCATCCCTTGTTTGTCAAACATTTTCCAGCACTGTCAAAACTGTTGTCTCATCGCCCGCTTCAGTTCGTTTAAGAAATAAACAAAATTATATCAGGAATTCTGGGATTACTTAAGAGCGTGAAATTAGAAAAATAAAACCATTTTGGAGTTGTATAAGGTAAAGCACTAGCTATTAAAATTTCTAGATATTTATTATTTAAGTTGTGCCAGATGAACATAGATATTGGAATCCCTGAGGATGGACAAGGCCCCGGTTTCCATCCGTATTTTACGCAGAAAATATCCGAGCTGCAATTCACCGTGATCGAGCGGCAGAAAAACTTGCTCCGTTTGCAGGCTCAACGGAATGAACTCAACTCGAAGGGTATGTCATAAATTCTATAAACTAAAATATCCTTCCTTAAGATCTTCTTTTACCAAAAGTTCGCTTGCTCCGTGAAGAGCTACAGCTCCTTCAGGAACAGGGCAGCTATATTGCCGAGGTGGTGAAACCGATGGATAAGAATAAGGTCCTTGTGAAAGTCCATCCCGAGGGAAAATACGTGGTGGATGTGGACAAGTCCATCAATATCAAGGATGTGACGCCCAACTGCCGAGTGGCCCTGCGAAATGAGAGCTATACCCTTCATAAGATTTTGCCCAACAAGGTTGACCCATTGGTATCCCTGATGCTGGTGGAAAAGGTTCCCGACTCCACCTACGAAATGGTGGGCGGCTTGGACAAGCAAATCCAGGAGATCAAGGAGGTTATTGAGCTGCCCGTAAAGCACCCGGAGTTATTCGATGCCCTTGGCATTGCCCAGCCGAAGGGAGTTCTCCTCTACGGACCCCCTGGCACCGGGAAAACCCTTCTGGCCCGAGCTGTGGCCCACCACACGGAGTGCACCTTCATCCGGGTTTCAGGCTCGGAACTGGTGCAAAAGTTCATTGGCGAGGGATCGAGGATGGTGAGGGAGCTTTTCGTGATGGCCCGGGAACATGCTCCCTCCATTATATTTATGGATGAGATTGATTCGATTGGATCCGCGCGACTGGAAACCGGAACTGGCGACTCGGAGGTTCAACGTACCATGCTGGAGCTCTTGAACCAACTGGATGGCTTCGAGGCCACTAAAAATATCAAGGTAATCATGGCCACCAATCGAATCGATGTTTTGGATCAGGCTCTACTGCGTCCCGGTCGCATTGATCGCAAGATAGAGTTCCCGCCACCGAATGAGGAGGCCAGATTGGATATCCTGAAGATACACTCCCGCAAGATGAACCTCACCAGGGGCATAAATCTGCGCAGAATTGCGGAACTGATGCCCGGGGCTTCGGGAGCTGAGGTCAAGGGTGTTTGCACCGAGGCCGGGATGTATGCCTTGAGAGAGAGACGCGTCCATGTCACCCAGGAAGACTTCGAAATGGCCGTGTCCAAGGTCATGATGAAGGACTCCGAGAAGAACATGTCTATAAGAAAGTTTTGGAAGTAGCTTCCTTTTATATTTTACGAGTTAAGATAGTTAAGGTAATCTCTGGAAAATAAATTGAGAAATATATAAAATGGTCTCCCTATATTATAGGTTTCTGTTTGTAGTTTAACACTTTCGAATTAAAAGACAAAAAAATTTATAAACAAACCCTTTTTTTGATAAACGATAGATTACTTAGCTTTATTTAGATCTTAGTAAGACTAACTCCTAGCCAGAGAAAGAGTGCTGGCCATGCTGACACACTCGCTAGCTCCATTTCCCGATTCGGCGTGATCGAGGGAGTCCACGGATCTTGAAAGATCCGCCTCATCGGGCCGAAGTTCCTGGTTGAGGGCGTGGGTATTATAACAGAGCACTAGCCTCGTGTTCAGTCCCTCAAAGACGCTGACCACACTGGGCTTTAAGTTGAAGAATATAATCTTCTGCTGACGCCGACGGAAGTCGTCCACAATGGAGGATATAACTTTGGCGGCCGTGTAGTCCGCTGCAAAGATATAGGTGCAATCGATGACCACTGGCAGGGTGGATTTGCTGCCCAGCTTGAGAACCATGTTCCTCACAAATTCTACAGAGGGAAAGATCAGACATCGATCGGGAGTGATCTTCACGAAGCGGATGCCCTGCTGCGTTTCCAGCTGCTCCAGGGTGACCTTTGGCCTGGCTGCATAGTACAGGATAAAGAGGAGATTCACTCCAATGGCCACCATAATGCCGATCTCCAGGGGCAGCACCAAACAGGTGACAAAGGCCAGGATTCCAGGCACTAGATCAGAACCTGCAAGGATTAGGATTATTTAGGAATATATACAATTAACAAGATCCCAACTCACGTTTGCTGCGCCACATGGGCGTTACCACCTGGTACTGGACCTGGAATATCACAGCCGATATGATAATCGCGGCCAGCACCGCCTTGGGAATAAAGGCAAAGTAGTCGGTGAGGAAGTTTAGGGCCAGCACCACGATAATACCGATGTACAGGTTGGACATATTGGTGCGACAGCCACTGGCATTATTCACCGCCGATCGGGCCAATCCGCCATTGCATCGATATCCGGAGAAAATAGAGGTGGCAATGTTGCCCACTCCACAGGCGATCATTTCCTGGGTGATATCTATCTGCCTTCCCTTGGCGAAGGCCTTGCAAACCGACATCGTTTCCAGTAGAGCCATCAGGGGAACGATTACGAGTCCGTACCCCAGACTTTGAACCATCTCAAGGAAATTTTGTCCCTCCACCGGGGGAATCCCAGAAGTCTCGTTCCCAGGCTGGGCTTTAATGGAAAAGGGAGGAAGTGATGGGGTGGGCATTCCCTTAGGTATATTTCCAGTCAGTCTGAAAGGATTGGTTCCGTTGGCATCCAGGTACATGGTGACGGCGGTGAACACAATCACCACAGAGGCGTTCCTCGAGGTGGACAGGAACTTGATCACGTGGTTGACAACACGTTGGAAACCATTTCTCCTGGCCTCATCCTTCGGACCGATGGTAAACTTTCCAAAACTCCGCATTGACAGAAGCAGGAAAACGCACCCGAAACCCAAACAGGTGTCGGCTACCCGGACATGTTCGATGTCCCGAAACATGCTGATCCAGGTGGCCAAAAAGGATCCCCCATCGCTCTTCACACCCAGCATCGAACGCATCTGGGATGTGGACACAATCAGGGCCACGGCACTCGTAAAGCCCGCACTCACAGGTCCAGATACGAACTCCACCAGACATCCCAGCTTAAAGATGGCCATCAGGATCTCTATAATGCCGGTAAGGAAGGTGAGGAGCACGGATCTCTGCCAGGATCCTTGGGCGAACTGGAAGGTCATGAGTGAGGCCACCGCCGTGCTGCCAATCGTGCTGTCCTTGCAGGTGCCCAAAAGGACATAGACGAAGCAGCCCATGAAGGATCCATAAAGCCCATACTTCGGAGAAAACATAGAAAACAGTTCTTAGCTATATACTTTAGAAAATCAAATTGAAGTCATTCAGAAACCCTGACTCATTTGATGATGCTAAACTAAATTAGTCAAGAGATTTCCTTCCTACTTCCTCAAGAAAAATGTAATGGTTACAAATGGTAATAACCCATACTATACATAATGCATTGACGCTCTAGATATAGGAAAGCCCACTAACCGCATTCCAGATATCTGAGAAAAATGAGACATGACTTAAACCTAACACCAGTCCCATCATTCCGAAACTGGAACTCAAATACGACGGACAGAATGAGAAAGTGCTCCTTCTGTCTGATACTCCTCATCACGAACGAATTTCTACTCATCAGTGGAAATAAAAACGATCGAAGTATAAATACTAAATCAGACTTTGGACTCACACATATGGATAATACCCAGAAGGTAAAACGGTTGATAGTTTCTTTAAAGGATGATCAGTTACTAATTATTATTATTTTTTAACAGACAATCTATGCCGCCAAAATTCCCATTGCACTCTTCAAGGTTTGTAAATTCCTTTTCCTATCGTCAAATTTCCTCATTCATGTTACTCATATTTTGTAAGTCTTTCATTTGATTTATAAAACTAATTTATGATTTGCATCAACAGGAACCAATGCCTGAGAGAAATCGTGCTAAAAGAATGATTTTCAGCGGAAGAATCTCTTATGATCATAAGGGTAATCCCGTCATAAGAAATAAGCCGCGTATTAAAAATAATTGGTTTTGGAACGTATATTAAAAAAGTTTTACTAAGAATGTGTCACTTAGAAAAAGATTCGCGCGCATTTTAGACTTGGTTATGGACTAATAAAGGAGTCTCTTTGTATACTTCAAACTATAAAATGACGTTTTTTTGTTAACGAAACCCACGTCTTTTAGAGGAGATCGGAGGATCACAATCTTTAAACACTTTCGCAGCTTATAATGCTTTGCAGAACACACTGTATTTAAGGATAACGATTTTGTATCGGAAATATCTGCGAAGACCTGCTTCACCTGAGACGTACTTGTGATAAGTGATCAAGATGTCACCTCACACTTAACTAGGTGCTTTTCCACTGTGCTCAACTTGCTAATAAGCTGGGAAAACACGATGATATCTTGATTAACCAATCAAAAGTGATACACGCAAAAATCTTCTTGATCTTCTGAGACTAATAAAATTTGTGGGCTGCAATACTACTTTAATATTTTGTTGAGTGCATGGATACTCACCTCTGGTGGCAGACCGACCACACCCGAATAGGCCAAACCCTGTGGGATCACGGTGAGTCCCACAGTGAATCCGGCTATCAAATCGCCTATACAGTCTCTGGAGTTGTAGTGTGGCAGCCAGGTGAGGAAGGGCAGCCGCCTCAGGAGGGTCTTCTTCCGGAAGATATTCCGGGCATATCGGGAGCAGCAGGACTCGGCATTCTCCGACTCCTTGGAGGCCTCCAGCTGCTCCAAGCTCTTGCTCTTCGAGGTGCGATGATCGGTGATTAGAATAAAGTCCGTGGAGGAGCTGTCGAACTGCGCCTCCAGACTCTGACTGACCTCCGCCTGCTTGCGGAAGGTCACCTCGTTCTCCAGCGTGGACATTCTGGCCGAGATCTCTGCGTGAACTGATGGGTCGGACGACACGCCGCCGGAACCTGATGCTCCAGGGGCTGCGTCACGCGCTCTTATCTCCGGAGGCTGTTTGCCCAGATCTCGACGCGTGTCGTGTGTGGGAGCGGGATACAGGTTGTATCTTTCAGTTATATCCACAGCGGTTCCATAAACACGCCAAAACCCTCTTGACAATGACCAAAGCCCCTGCAACCGCCCGCCTTTTCTATGTTTATCTTGGATATTGTCGGCCAGCCAACTGGCACAAGTGTCCCCGATTGATAATTTGAATTTTTCCATTAATCAAGCGCGATCTGTGGAGAATCGTTAATCAGGTGTGCACTACTCGTTCACAGGGTAAATATTGATCTTCACAGTACTCCATCCATCGGAATCCAGCTGTGATCGGACACATCTTCGGGTTGAAAGATCGTTTTATAATCGAAAGTGATGAGATACAATGTTTTTAAGATGGCTAATATTATCTAACATCAGGTTGCTACTGTATAATCTCCTTATCTCATTGAGACAGTAAAGATTATAGGGAGGAAGGAAAGTCTTACTATTTTTAGCTGATATCATACTTGCTGACGAAAGCATAATGCGAATAAAACGTGTGGTACACCAAGTAACCTTTTAAAAATACCCCCAAAGGTCTTTCAACCCATTAAATCATCAACAGTAATCGTAAAATATCTTTTGTAGTTTTTTTTAATTTAATTTTAAAGTTTTTACATGATTTTTAAAAATTGTATTTTAAAAGCATTGCATTATGTCATATAAAGTAAGATATATCATTACATTATACAATTGTTTGTTTTTCATTTGATTTGTGTGTTTAACCATAAGTTAAATTTATGTTTAAGCATTTTCATAATTCAATAGCAGTAAATTGTTTTCAGAGACCATGGCTATATATGTATCATATATATATAGTGTGTATAAGTATTATGTATGTTATGTGTTTGTATCATGTGTGTGTGCATGTGTGGATATAAACACGACTAAAACTAAAAATTGTGAAATATCACCCCGTCTAGGGGCTTCAAAAAAATCGAAGGACAGAATGGAAGGTAAGTAAAATAAAGTAAACGTGTGTATAGCTGCAGCGTAAATGTGAAGATTTTGCTTAAGGAAGAATTATTTAAGAGCTGCCAGATGGAAAGTTAATCCTTGATCTGCGTGTGTGACAATGAACATTCGCCTAACTCGTAACAAACAAATGATTATGCTTATATGGTGAACCGAACACAAACTCGAACCGAAATCATCTGAATCTGAAGAACGCAACAAACACTTAACAAAACAATATAGAACAATTCTTCGCGTGAGAACAACAACAAGTATATGAAAACACTATGTGTGGGTTGCAGTTTTCTTTTCGGTGTAGCCAAATGTAGACTCCATATATCCAATTTGGATGAATCCTACTGCCAGACGCCAATGGTGTAGTTCCTGCTCAGATGTCCCATGCGACGCTGACGTCCAACTGGAAAATATTCGAAAAATCAGAATTAGTAATATTTTTAATTGGCATTTAACAAGACTGGTTCAGAACGAAGCATGACGCACAACAGTTGAATAGGTATAGTACAGTGTTTACAGAAAAAGCTGCCCTTGTTGGCTTAAGGCTAAGCTAATAGAGTTGCTAATCAGGTTTCCTCTTCCGTACATATTTACCAACCCATTTAGGGTCTATTTTCGGGCCAATCTCGGCTAGCAGCGCTAAAATTGACGCTTTTCTGTTGACGGGGTCACCAGGAGAACTTAGGTGCTAACTTATGATGCTTCACTTGATATGGTGAAATCAAAAATCACACTTTTCCAGTTGTATATCAAATGATGTCACTATAACTTTATAAATGTTGTGCAAGAGCAGAATAAAATGTTGAAGAATTAAATACTCTAAACTATTTTACATCTCAAATAAAGAGTACAAAACAGAACAGAATTCAACATTACTTAATACTTAAGTTACCTTAGATTGTAAAACTCATACTTAAATTATAGATATAGTTAAAACTATTACCCTTAAGATACTTTACGTACTTCATGTAGCACATCATTCTTCGGTGTTAGTTCACAGCTGGTTGGTTGGATTCATTTGGTGGATTGGTTTCGGGAGGAGTACATAGAAGGTCGGTTGGTTTGGGGAATTGTGGATAGACATAAATCTGTTGTTCTTGTTGCCGTGGTTGCTCATGTTGTTGTAGTTGTTCTTGTTTGCTGGTGGTGTTCTTTGTTGGTTTGGTTTTGATTTTGATTTTCTTGCTGGGTCTTGGCTTGTTAATTCGGTAGTTATTCGGCAATCAAATCAAGAGTTGGACAAACAAAACACACACACATAAAGATGGCTTTCTGCTTGATTGTTGTTCTTGGGTGGTGGCATGTTGTTGTTGGTTGGTTGCTGCTATATATTTCGTATTTTGTCTTTTTATTTACGCTGGTTGAGGCGTTTCACACGTACTGGAAACACAGATACAGGATAACGAGAGTGTGTTGGTGCGTGGGCGGGGCGGAAGAGAAGAAACAAATACATTGGCATTAGTCATTATAGAGAATATAGCATATGGCATTATAGAGAAGGGTTCAACAGTTTAGTTTTCGGGTTAGTTTTGAACTTCAATCATTCAATAAAACAATCAATCAGTAGCAGGTACAACATTCAAGTCGGCCCAAGTGTTTTGGGTTTCATATCGGGCAAAGGTCCTTAAACACTAACTTTCAATTAGCTGGAAGCTTTCGGGTTAATAATCGGGGTTAATTGGAGTTTTTCTTTTCGGCCGCAGATCAACACAACAATTACTTAGACAGAAGGGTACCAACTTTTCATCTGTTTGGGATACTCTGCATAGAATTTAATATTTTTGTAGGTTTATCATGGCTCTTCCCTGTCGGTGGTGCTGCTTTAGTTTCTGCTGTTAGTTGGTGGCTCTGATTGAATCATAAAAGTGTTTCAAATCTAGTTTTGTTATGGGTTTCTGCTACTATCGCTTTACTTTGACTCGGATCTGGGGACTCACTTAGATCATACATCGCAGTTAATTCCTATACGAAGAGAACTTTATTAGAGCCGCCATATAAGCTCACTGCACAGAGTTGTCTGAAGTGTGGATAGTGTTCTGATGTGATTACACATAGCATGCAAATGGTTTGGCTGGGGGGATAAGTGCAAAACGGTGGGTAAAAGCAAAAACATGCAGTGGATGGTTAGACTTACACAATAAACAATATAATTTACATAATGAGAAACAACATAAACGTAATTAAGTATGCTTGGATGCTAGTGTACATGACTGATAAGTGGGTAATACACAAACAAAATGGGGAAGGTCTAGCTTCGAAGAACCGAAGCTTCTGATACCCTTGCAGATATAGTATATTATGTATAAATAAATTTGGAACAATTAAATATAAATAAATAATTCAACATAACTGTTTTCCCTTTTAAAAATTTACAGGTGTTCTAATACTTAGGGAGTTCTTTGTAAATTCATAAAAATCATAAGTAAACGGACAATAAAATATTTCTGTACTTCTTAAAAATATTATTTGCAAGAGTATTAAAAGATCTTGGTTTAGTTTACAGTCGATACTGCCATATATTTATGCAAACAGTCAGCCAAATGCACTTTGAGGACTCTCTCTAATCGAAAATCTGCGAAAGCTCGTTATAAACTATATATATCGAAGCTGTATATAGCAGAATGCTGGTTGCTCTTTGGGGGTTTTGGTTACTTGGCAATTCTTGCGAGTTAGCAGAAGAAATTGAAGAAGTGAAAGGACAATCCGTGTTCATAGATACCTGTGTTAAGCGTTAGAGAAAATTATACACGTGACGCCTAAACGATTTCTGCTGGGTTATAGAAGAGGCCTCGACTTGGAACACAACTCATGGCACAAGGGTACTATGCAGTGCCCATACACCATGGGCCTGTTCGATCTGCGATCTTTATCGATAATATATGGATTATGTATTTAGTTGATATTTCACTTCGTTTTGGTTTCAGTGTGCTTTGCTTAGTTAAAGTCTCTAGAGTATATAGATATTTTTTGGCAAGCTCGGGGCTGCTTTATCTTTAGCTTAAACTTCTGCTCCTGCTTCCTTCATCTTTATATATATTATATTATACACGTTCTTTCGTTGTTATGTGCTTCTGTTTTTCTTCGGTTCTTTGGGTTTAGATTACAAAACGCTTTAAAAATGGTTTAGTTGCTTGCTTTCTGGTCTGCTTATTGAATTCTTGTAGACTTTCTATGCATATTATTGAAAAATCTGAATTGCAGTCGCAACTCAAGATCTTTTCTTACTGAAAACGAGAAACAGAAAGAGGGGAGAGAGAGAATAGAACACATAAACAAAAGGTGATAAAGACAGGTCGCAAAATAGGGGAAGAAATAATAATCATGAGTCTTTGACTGTCTCGAGAACGGAATTTCTGAATCGTTTTTGGCTGATATCTCTGAGTTCGTCTGTTTTTTGGGAGATAGAAAGACACATAGATACAAAACACAGAGTGCTGCGATGAGTGTGTATGCGGCTGTGCCTGGGTGTGGGTTAATAGCACGCGTCTGATCTGAATGATATAGGATATCGTGGCTGGATTATTTACACGGATCGATTTCGGATGGAAAAAGCAGCTGACAACGACGACATGGAGAACAGATATTAACAAGAGGGGTTGTGCTGGAATCAGTTTCCGGTTTCTGCACAGTACACAAATATCTCTAGAATTCACCATCGATTCGGATCTTTTCATATCTAAACAGTCGATACAAAAGGATTTAGGTTCCTAAAACCGTGATATAAAGTGTTTTAAATTATTTAAGTTTGGATAAGTTCTTTATAAAATGTAAATCCCATTGATAGATATGATTCCGACTATTTTGATATAACACAGAGAACCGATGGTAATCTAGAAGAGATAGTTTTCTACGCCCGGATTTCTTTGTGGGGTATGTACAAGTTCTTGGTCAGCAAGATCGATGGACTGCATCCAGAGTCCAGAGTGTTGGGGTGTATATTTTGTTGGGCAACGACAACGACAACATCGAGGGTTACATAACTAATGAGACAGAAAAGGGAAAGGCGCGAGTGGGTCGAATGACTGTCTGTACATGGCTCGAACTTGTGGTTGCTGTGGTTTCAGTGGATTTCTGTGGTTTTCTGGTCGTGTTCTGTGGCATTCAGTGGCTCCGGTGGTGCGGCTGCAGTGGCTGCCCGACTTCTCACTCACGTG